AAATTAACATTTTCGACCACCTATGAGTGCTATATGACTGTTGTGGTCCAAAATTAATAACCTATATGACACTTAAAGCCTTATTATAATAGTCGCCGCCCCTTTTGTGGTTGTTTTCGTTTGTCCAAAGGCCAAGGTTAATTCCGTTCACTTTTTCTTTTATCACTGATAGGACATAGTGCAGTGGCGATTCGTAGTTATTTTAATGGTTTTTTCTCGGTATTATAAAATATAATAATTTACCTACTATCGGTTATAATTTCATTGAATTTTTATTCGCTTTCTTCTTTTTCCATGGTTTTTAATTTAACGCTGTCAAAAAAAAACTGCCCAAGTAGCCAAAGAGCACAAAATGTGTTTTTTTTGTCGACAGTGTCCTTGAGTTTCTACAAGCCATCGATCATTCTGAACCCATTTGCTGTTTTCCTAAAAAGAGAAATATTTCACAACTTTCTGTGAAGTTCAAACTAAGATATTCGGTCTGAAAGTTACAAACGGAAAAAGAAATTGATAACTGAAACCGTCGCTAACGTGAGCACGACCAAATGTATTGATTTAGATGCGTACGTGATTGAATATGCTTTAGGCTTCCAATTTTGAGCAATCTTCCCTCAGCTAATTGTTACCTTGTTATATGAGCATCTTTGGGATGTACACATCTCCATCAACAAGGTTAAAGCTTTTCGTATTGTAACACGATAAAGAGGCGCAGTGGTCGGAAGCATTCTGCAATATACATTGAATCGAACCCGCGCACCAGGCTCTCCAAAACGTCCATCTCGCAAGGGTCGGAATTGGTACCAAACCCGTGCGGTAGGATGGTAGCACTGACTATACCTCGATGGACCACTCCGAGTCATTGTATAGACCATGTTTGCATTCAGTCACCTCCAGCGATGTTTGATGCAGTCGAATGCATGGCACATCCCTCAGGGATTGATCAACACTAAGAGCTTTATCGTTAGCTTTTCATTATCGCGATGAATTTTTAGTTTTTTGATGCCCATTAAATCCTTCTGTTTTTCATTGGTCGATTAGGCAAGGTTTCCAATACAATCAATACATCCTTGGATTATTTACCTACACATGAGGTTGATAGAAAGATTTGTTCGGATAATGTTTCGACGTCTTCGTTTTCCTCAGTGCCGATGATCCGAGTCGACAGTCCGAAGGCGTTCATCTTCACGATGTGCCGTCTTCGTCTTTTTTGTCCTCTCTTATATAATTTTTCAAGCCGCCGAGTAATCTAATTATAGGAAAACTATTTGCAGGTACCGAAAACCAGTGTTGTTGAAATTTGTTGAAGAACGATTGCTTGAAGAATCATTTGATTTCATTATGTCAGTTATCGATATTTTTCTTTCTTTCAGAATATCCCATGGCATTTGTTAAAGTCTTTGTCACCAACATCCCACGCGAGTAGTGCAGCGACTAAAGGTGCTCTACAATTTACACATTGTCCTTATTTCGGTCCCGAGTACCGGGTAAACTAAGTCTTCATTCCTTCGGAGACGGCAAATTGGTGTCAAACTTGTCGGGGGGACAAAAATGTACACTTCATATATGCGTTTCCCTGCTGGCGCATTTCTTAGGTACTGTGGACTCCGAAACCCTTATAATCCATCATTATTTACAATAAGCCTGACCAATGTTTGAATAATCTTGCGCAGAAACTAAATCGTTGAAGTCTGATTCAAATTGTTGTCAATTGGTTATCCAATTAAGCCAGCATAACCTATAGATTCTTCCCTCCATGAAAACAGCTCAAGACTTTACTCCTTGACGACAATTTTCTCCATGAATACGTCAGGCCTATCCAGTTCATATAACTTTTCTCTTCGTTTTTGTAGAAATCTGTAGAAGAATTTTCCACTGATCCTCTATAGCATACCCTTGCATTCACTACCCAGGGCTTCTAACAACGTCAGTAACATGAATGTCGTACGTAAATTTGGGGCATAATTGTTGTTCTTGGAAATTCTTTACTTGCTGTGAACTTGTTCACGACAAAGCAATCGGAAAAAAGTGCTCATGACACCGACAGCATCTAATGCGTTCAATAGACAATTCCCAAGCAATGCTGGCTTCCTTGACAAGGTCGCATAACAATCAACACGGAGCGTTTTTTTCTTGATTGAACTTCAAGTGTAAAATCACAGTGTAAGCTAGTACGTAATAACTTGTTTTATACAATGATATATTCGATAATCAGAACAATTTATGTAAAGCACCTACAGGCCAGCGACAGGCCAGCGATATTCTGCTTCTTTCGTTGCCTTCACTAACTGGGGAACACTTGTTTTGAAAACTCGCTCCTCTGGATGTTCTTGTCAACGTACCTAAATTCGTTGTTTTTGTTTTTTGAATTGTTTGTTGTCGACGAAAATCACATGACTTGTGCTCACTGTAAGCGAATGTTTGTCCAGTGGAACTCTAGGAGAATAGGAAAAGCGTTTGGTTACTCCCTTATCAGCTGCAACTGTTGTATTTGGCGAACGGAAGCAGCATATGACACTATCGGGGTGTCGTCACATTTGCTGCATTTCATAAGAACATCCCACACAATCACGTGGTTGAAAGAAAATACCGGTACTCTGATCTTTCAACAATGGAGATCGTTTTGTTTTTTTCTGCAATAGTGATGTGCTGAGCAACTTTTAAAAAGTTATTGTAATCTGTAATCAGGTTAGACGCTGTGTTATTCTTACCATATAGGAAGTGGTTGTCAAGGATCAACTATATCGATTAGTCCCAGATTCTATCAATACGTATATTTTGTATTCGGCCTATTCTTGTGATGCGCTGTATTGCGAACTATTACTACTGTTAATGACATAAACACATCCGTGGGAATATGAGTTAGATATGACTGATTTGTGCACAAGGTTCTGCATTCAGTGGCAAAAAAAACATCTTTAAATCAATCAAAACAAAAAGCAAAATCTACGTCTGTTGATTTCAATAGAAATCAATAGAATATGAACATCTTTAACAACACTATGCAACTGTTCTTGATCTGCTCCGTTCCATAAAATTTTGTTTTGCCTTTTCTCGTCGAGATTATTTCGAGTAGCGAAGTGGTTGAACAAGTAGGATTCTAGCAAGACATTTTGGCATCGCCGAACGCATCGCTGCTTATTTTTGCGGCGGTCTTTCGTCCTTAAGGGCTTTAAAAATTAGAGTTCTAAATATATGTCGTCCAAGGGGTAGTGGAAAGTTGTTTGTATGTCTCTATTACGTCATAAGCTTTTTAAATGCCTCAGTTATCGGGAAACGGCCCGCACCGTTGTCAGTGAGGGAGCCTGTAGCGCAGTGGCTAGAGCCGAACTGCAATATACATATGGTCATTGCTTCGATCCTGCGCCCTAAGTAGATCAATCTACCCATCCTTGAGATTGATAGCAGTGTTTGTGAGAATCAAATCACCACCTTCACACATTGTTAGGCTTTCTGAGAACGTTCTATAGTATGCTTAAAGGAGTCGGAAGAATGAACCATCCCATCAAGGAATGATCGATGCTGAATACTTTATTCCTTGTCCCTCATCGTCGTGAATATGTAAAAAGAACGCTACTATCACAAACATGTCCAAACTTTTTCCGCTATTTTCTGGGCGAGACTCGGACAACTGACCTTCGATTGCTTTCCCTATCATCTTATCGGAACTGTGTCTTCATACAGTCATCGCAATTAGCTGTCGATCGAAGGGCAAAAGAAATTCTGTGCGCTATAAAATTAGATGGTATTTAGATTGGTCTTTGCCGTTCAAAGTTCTGTCTCTCTTTTCATCTGTCTATTATCACGATGGCAAATGGTTAGTTGTCTACTGAGGAGAATATCGTTCATACATTTTATCCGCATATTGCATTGATTGGGCAAACAACGAGATAAGAACTGTGGAAGATTCTAATTCGAAAGGGCCATCATAACGTCGTTAGAGAGACTGTTTACTAGGGGATTTTTACGCCACGTGCCTATTTTCGCCTAAATATGATTCCTAATAAGAACAATTTTTTTTTACCAGAAACCAAGCAACCAATTTTGCTTTAGAAATGTCGATTTTTTTATGAAGACATCATAAGGCAAAAACGTAATTTTTAACATGGCCATGACATTACATATTTTGTGGATCCGAGCACTTTTCATTCCATTCATTTCGCTTCTGACTGAGGAGATCATCTGACCTTTGCTTAATGTTGGTTGAATCGATTTTCTGTGCAATCCTAGCATAGTGGTGCTAGATCGTTTTCAGATCCTCGCCATTAAAAGATATCATGCTTCGTGGAGCAAAAACAGTTTTCCAGACAAGTTTGATATTAATTTCCTAACCCCGATGGATCAGTGACTTCATTGGTTCGGACCGGCGTCGAACCAGGACCTTGCGCCTATTGACGGCTTTAAGAGTTTCTTCGCCGGGTGTAAAAGAAAAAGCGAAGTAACGTGGAAACCGAAATGGTCCTTTTTTTGATATCGTGAGCTATGAGATATAGGGTGACACTACAGCAACGCTTGAGCGCATTGGTTTTTCCTAATATCGTTTCCAGTCCTCTTTTAGGCGCAATGCCACTTTTTTCCGTTCTCCTTTTTTTGCCAATAGCGAGGAGTATTTGGTACGAGTTCAGATGAACTTTGGTAGCGTCAACACGATGACACAATATGGTAACACCACTGCGAAGCAAAGAGGACTGAAATTGATTGATTACTCTATTGCTGCTCGATCATCACTCACTGGGAAATTTTAGTCGATGAGTCGTCTCAAAAATCACTCACACCGATCACTGTTGTGAAGAAGAACGCCAGTTAATTGTATCAAAGGCTTCCCATATTACGATGATGGGCGAAAGATGCAAGGAATTGTCCGTTTTGCAAAACCTGTATTACAACTAAAATTTTGCTGACAACTTGTTGATTTCCAGCATTAATTACATTATCACATGGTTTTTGTAGATGTTATTTTGTAAGGTTTTGGCTTCTGTTTGAAAACATATGTGTCTTTGACAATGTTTCTTGCAGAGGAGCCTATATCACTAGAGGAGGCAGCTCTATCCGCGCATGCGATGGCGCAGCCGAGCAAGAAGAGCTATGTTCATGGCTGTTCGCAAATCCCATTGCTTTTCGAGACTGTCGGCGAACGACTACGAAGTGCAGTCGATCAGGTGAGCCTTTGAAACGATGCTACTAGTTTGGTTCTTGCCATTTGTTCATATTCCTCTTTATCCAGTTCTTCTAGCTTAGTTCATAGCAATCGTGAAATTGATGAAGCAAAAATCAAAACGCTTAATCTATGTCAGTACTAAGGTGCCTGTTACAAGACTTGAATTCTATGGCCGTTGCTTGTACTGTGAAGCAAGCCCTATATCGTCAGGCAACCTATGGATACGTATTTTTTTAATTGATAACCTAACACGAGCTTGATAGACAAACTTTATTACGCCGATGTCTCGGCACTTTGGCGTTCTTCTGGGCCGGACTGATCCTAGTAGATTGACCCAGTGGCTTTTCCGATGTGGGTCTTCGTGATCGCATCAAGTCGATTCCAACAGAGCACCGCCAGTGTGAAGTAACCCCACCAGGCAGCGTCCTTTTATGCAGGAAGGTTTAGATAATCTACGGATATCACAATGTTATACCTTTTTATTTTCTGCCTACTATAATTTCGCGGCAGGGTACTAAGCGAAATACAACCACAACGTTGCTGAGATATTTGCAAAACTCTGGACCGCAGGTGTCTATGGTGGGGAACGAACGCGCTATTGTCCTTTCCGGGGAGTAACGCGTTCACCACCACACCATGCGGGTCCTTCGTTTCGCCTGTCTCTCAGCATCCTCATGTTCTCAATCGAATACTGTGGTCAGCGATGATAAGAGGACGGTAGAGAAGTAATTAGAAGATAAAATGAAGTAAACAACTATTTAGATGGATGAAAACTTTTGAATATCTTTAGGATATTTCGTCAGTTCTTATATACAGCTTACTACTTTTTGATGGCACGGTATTATGGCAGGCAGGGTTATGTGAATTATAACCGCAATGTTGCTGAGATATTTGCCCGGACCACTGGTGTCCGCGGTGGAGACCGAGCACGCTTTTACCTTTTCCTCCAGCTTCAGCTTAACTGGGTTGGTACCGATTTGTGCTCACCAGATCAATCCCATTGACGGTTCATTGCTGATAGCGCCTTTAGGTCAATAACACGGCTGAAAAACCGGCGAAACGAAGGACTCGCATGGGATAGTGGTGAACGCCGCCGGAAAGGGTAATAGCGTGTTCGGTCCCCACCCCAGACACCAGCTATCCGGAGTTTTGCAAATATCTCAGCAGCATTGTGGTTACCCTTAGGACAGTAACGAGCTATCTGTTTAAGCATCTTGATTTCTTCGACTAACAGTCTTATTTTATGGCCTTATTTAGAAAGTGGCCTTAACAACATAGCCCAAGGGTGATATAGTAATATTGATTGATTTAAAGGATTAAATGATTTTTTTCAAGGCTCCAAACAAGGAGTTTGTCATCTTCAAAAGGGAAAATATTCGACGAACATATCATCAACTTCTCAAAGATGTAAGTGGAATTTGTTAGTTTTTAGTTTCAATAGGTTTTCAGTAAAAATATTAGTCAATCGAGGTCCTGAGGACTTATTTGTGGTCACGAAAAACTAACTTAGAATGATCTACTTACTCTGCAAATGAAATCTAATCCTACATCAATGAACATTTTGTGTGTCAACGACAAAGTGGAGTAGGTATTTAACACGCGCCTTCGAACCATTTGAATATTTTGAATTCGATATTCTAAAAAAAAAGCTGCTCCATTTCGTTATCATTTCATTGTAATCTTCGAATTTCTGAACTTCGAACACTTGAAAACCTGAAAAGCCAGATTTTTGTTTTACAAATATGAGTATTATTTACAGGCGGAGCGCCTCGTATGTGGTCTAATTCACCTGGGGGTGGAGAAGGGCGATCGAGTTGGTATCTGGGGTCCGAATACTTACGAGTGGGTGACGGCTCAGTTCGCCACTGCACTCGGCGGAATGGTTTTGGTATGTGAATCGGTCAAATGAAATAATAGTCATTGTAGGAGAAGTATAACTGGGCGATCTATGAAGAAACATCCTTCTTCGTAATAATATCTTATATATCGTATTACATTGAAACGTATCGAAAAAATGAAACTTCTGTGGAGATCGACTTCTTTTTGAGTTTGGTGAGGTATGAGATAGTTTAAGCGGAAATCGAAACGAAGAATTAATTGAAGATGTGCTTATGATTTTGGGTTCGATCACCTCTTTAGGGCAATCGAATCCTTAGTTCTAAGTTACTTAGTAAGTGGCATAGGAATCTATAGGTGATAAAAAAGAAAAGACTCATTAATCAGTCGTCCTAGGTTACAAAACGATTACACAATTCTAATTCCTACAATACCCCGAGATTTCATAAATGGAATCTAGGGATGCTTCCAGTGATGTCGACCAACTCCCTGAACTATCATAATGTTCTCACTAAGTTTTACTGCTATTTCTGGCTGAGTTTTGGAAGGACTTTTTGACTATGTAAAGTGCAGTAAAGTTTCTGCAATGAGTATTTTTTCTTTGTTAAGCTTACGCGAGGTTTGTAAACAAATTTATTTCGGCTAACGTTTCGACGTCTTCGTCTTCATCAGAACCCTGATCATCAATATCGCCCTTGTCATCATCATCAGATTCATCATCATCATCTGATTCATCGGCTCTGATGAAGACGTTAGCCGAAATGAACCTATTTACCATCCTCGTGTAAGCTTATCAAAGGAAGAATACATATTGATTGGTCATACCGAGGCTAAAGAAAAGTCAGTTTTGGAATATTATTATTACTTTTTGCAATAGGTGTTCTTAATTTCTGAGTATTGAAGAACTTAAATTGCCGATAAAAAATTTTGCGAGGTTTTTCACTGTTTGCTTGAAGTTATTATGTGTTATCATAATTGTTGTTCCTCCGTCTATCAACGTATTAGGATTTTCTCAGGTGAACATCAATCCTTCATATCAGTCAGAAGAGTTGCGGTTTGCATTGGGTAAGGTTGACATCAAAGTATTGATCGCTCCACCCAGCTTCAAAAAGTCAAACTATTATCAGAGCGTTAAGGTAAGTATTAAGAGAATGTCATAATGAATCAGAAAACAAGACGACGTCATCAGATTTCTATCTTTCATCTGAAGAATACGTCATACTTACGTTTTAATAAATGCGGTCGTGTAATTGCTGAGAGATGTTAAAGGCATCTTTATTGCTTTTTGTAGGAAAAAATTAGAGTAAAGGGTTATGAATAGCTCAGAAAACCTCTTCCGTGAATTGTTGGGTGGTTTTTAAAATCGCCGTGTAGGCGAGAGAGATCAGGTAATGAAATGTTTAGGATGTGATTCCTGAAATTGGATTGAAACCACCCGGAAGGAGTGATGTGTCATCATCGTGTTTTCCGATCTTTAGACACCTAATCATATTCGATCCAGAGGATAAAGTTTATCCGTGGGTGACTGTGGCTATTTCTTGACGTTGCAATATCATATTATACAGTTAATAACAAATCCAATAATATTTATTTATTTATATGATCTGATTTCACTTTTTATGCGAATTCCACCACTTATTTCATTCGGTTTGTCTCGTATCCGTCATTCGTGAAGGACTTCGGATTTGTGCGTAGGGTCGTTTATCATTTGAGGACTTATTCTTCATGGTGTCGTTAAATGTTAGTAGAGTCATCTAGGGTGGCTCTATTTGAGCGTTCCCAAATCATGGCCACAGGATCCATCATTGTGGATTGTAGAGTGGCTTTCCTAGACAAGCTGATACAAACTTGTCAACTCCGGAGGGGTGGATAACTTTATAGGCACGGTGGAGGTCGAGCCAATGAGAATGCGCGTATTGTGCGACATCTCTAGCCATTGCGCTTTTGGCTCTCCTAATGGTTATAACTCCTGTAATCCAGCGAATAGTAAACCAGTTTCAGAGATTAGTGCCATTTAATTAGATATCTTGTTAAAAAACAGTAAGTATATGATCGTCGAGGGTATATGATATGAGGGTCGTCAAGTGCTCGTAGCTAACGTCCCACAAATACCCGCGCATGACAGCTTTGTGACCCTAACGTAAGAAGAAGAGAGATATCGTCTTGCTGGCCATCATAAAATTTGAAGATCTCATAGTGTTTTACATGATTAACACACAACGCACTGGGCGTGAAGAGCAGTTTGCGGCAACAACCAATGTATATATTATATTAATAATGATCGGATCCTTGCCATCGGTAGAAAGGAAATCCCTCATGTTGATGTACGCTTCGTTATACACCCATGACTTTGTTGTAGAAGCCTCGCCATGGTCTGAAAAGATGACAGTGAGGTTCTATGCCCATGAATAAAGTGTTATAATGTTATGCTATCAGTTTTTCTGAATCGACGTAGATTCATACAACATCCTGGTAAATTATAATTGATTACAGACTGTTTACACACCAATCTTTCCTGTTGTTCAGTTTCCTGCTATGCTTCAAATGCCCCAAATATTCACTGTAGGAAAAGCCTGCACAAATGCTAATTATCGATTTCCCTTTGCAGTTAAGATTTAACTGGGACACCGTCATAAATTTTTTATTTTATTTTATTTGATCCGTCTTCACGTCTACTGTGTGGATCTCAGAACGTCTTACATTCGATTCGTTTCCTCCATCATCCACGAAGGGCTTCCAACTTTTACGTGTGGCTTCGGTTGCTGCTTGAGGATTTTCATTTCATCTTGAATGTCGCAGATTTCTTGAAGGTCGAGCAATTCTCCCTGGACTCCTCAGATAGCCGGACTTGAGCGTTCCTAATTGGATTACAGAGAACGGCTTTTTCTCAGAGAAGTTCGGTACCAATTTACCGACTCCAGAGGGATGAAGGGCATGGTTGGCCTGGAGTGGAATCGAACTATCATCATGCTCGTGGTGGCGGACATCACTACAACTGTACTATTCGCTTTCTCGTTGAACCACGTACCACTGCAAAATTCAGGCGATCTAGCTTTTTCATGTTTGAAACTTGAAAATTTCCTTCTTACAACGTCACGAATCACGTTTTTCTCGCCCACTCTGTTATTTCTTCGAGTGAAATCTCTTTTCAAACACAGGTACCTCAACGATAACTGTAGCGGTAACAAGGTCCCGTTTATACTGCCCTTCATTTCAAATGAAGTAAGTACAGCTATAAAACGCTGTTTAAGAAGGGCCAGTCTAGAGAATTCGGTAACGATAATCGAAATACCACCGAATAATCTAAGGCGCCAGCTAGTTCGTAATCGCCTATACGACCGTCTATGTGCAACGCAAAATTGCATAATTTGCCCCAATGGTAGAGACGGTGACTGCATGAGTTCGGGTACAGTCTATCTGATCTCTTGTAAAGCTTGCGGGGACGAATACGTTGGCGAAACGGATAGACCACTCTGCGTACGTATAAAAGAACACCTAGTAGGCAAACGTATGCTAAGTACTCCACTAGGTACGCATAGCACGCAGAAACATAACGGAGAAGATTTTGAAGTAAGAGTTACGATCCTCGCGCAAGAATCGAGAGCACAAGCGCGCAAAACTCTGGAGGCATTCTGGATGAATTCCAGAAATCCGAAAATGAACCGCAGGTAGGAATGCCTCGTTATCACGCGTGATATTGGACAGTATATAAACCTGTTATTCTGATGGGAGGAGCACATTACGCTTCCATGTGAATTCTGTGCGGTCGGTCTTCACGCGACATACTCAGCGGAAGACTCATAGAAAGTGGTGAGTGTGCAGAGCTATGCTAAATGTGATTGAAATCTTGGTTTAGCGTTTTCTCTGTTTGGTTATGGAGGTGTTTGGCCGAGTGGATTGCTGTCAACTTGACCCTTGCAGGCTCTGAGAAAGGCGAAATCCGCCGAAACGTCAGCTTGTGCGTAAATAAAGAAATAAAACAGCACCTCGTGTTTGCTGAACAGAAGTAGAATGATGTCTTTTCAAACATTTTACATTCCCAACCAAATGTTTTTTATAACTGAATTTTCATGCTGCCAACATTAGTTCAACTTAACTTGCATTTTCTCGAGTGCTATGTCGATTTCAGTGGAGCCTGGAGATACAGTGATGTGATCCGAATGGGAACTGAAGAGGATCGGTTGAAGTTGGCGAAAATTGAACGCGAAACTCAACCTGATGATCCAATCAACATACAGTACACAAGCGTAGGCCTCATTGTTGTCACCATCCTTACCAAGTATTATCATCGGAATGAGCTCAATAGTCCGTTTTTAGGGCACAACTGGTCAACCGAAGGGTGCTACACTAACGCATCATAACGTTCTTAACAATGCCTACTTCATCGGAATTCGTGCTGGTTATAATGAGCAGGTCGGATGATATCGTAATTTTATTTATCGTTTCGAATAAGGCAAATTTTCAAATCTTTTTTAAAAATTTATTGATTAGCTCAATCAATACTGTTCATTTAAGAGAAAATTGGCTAGAAACGTCCTGTCTTGACATACCAGCTTGACATGAGAGCAAAAGAGCGAACAATGGAAAAGCCAAGTGGTATTCGTTCCTGAGAGTTTGTTTCCTAATTTTTCCAGAAGACGATCATCTGCATTCCGAATCCACTCTATCATTGTTTTGGTTGTGTTCTCGGTGTTTTGGCTGCTTTGACACATCTACAGACTTGTGTCTTTCCAGCGCCGTCGTTTGAGGCGTTAGCAGCTCTTCAGGCTGTCGACGATGAAAAGTGCGTAGGGATGCTTTTACTGGAAAATCTTAATTTGTTACAAGTCTAGTATTCTTTTAAAGCTACTTTTCTAATGTTTTCACCACCTCTTTTGTGTAGCTACACCTTAGTTCTTTATAAATATCTTTGAGGAAATATTCATTTTGATTTACTGTTTTACTACGTTGTCCATTTAGATATGTGAGCGAGCTTTCTTTGATGTTGCAGTGATCGCATTATCTATTGTGTGGTACTGTCACGGTTCGGTCGTTTAGCAAGCCAAATCCTCTTAGTGGGTGTTCAAATGCGAATCACAGCAGAGTGTTTGTCGTCCGCCAAGTTCGTAAATGCTGTGAAGGAGTTAGCCACTTTTCTCCTGCTTAGAGCAAACCTATGTCAAGAATCAACGCCTTCTAGAACGATATCAAGCTGTAATTCGGCAAACCTTGCTGTGTTCTCCTAGTGTCTGGCGTTTCTTGTGAGGCCGACATGCAACCTTGGAACAACATCCTTTGGACTGCTAGCGAAAAATGGAGAACGACGCGTTTTTTGAACCATTCTTCATCAGAATGTCCCATGCAAATGCTGCGTGCTAGGAATAAGATAGAGAGTATTCGAAAGGCTAATACTAGCTTTTAAAACTTCTCTCGTTTAAGAGTGATAAAGAGATTGCTAAGCAACGTATCATGGTTGTAGGAAGTATTTTTAAGAGCTATTTGTGTCTTGAAGTTAACGCCATTCAGTTGGCTTCGTTTATGAAGCGGAAGCAGAAGTTAACCGGTCACACTTTCCTCATGAATCGTCAATGTTTCATTCTTATTCTTTCTATAACGTCATATGTCATGTGAAGAAAAGACCAGGGTTTCGGAGGCGGAGAAAAACCAGATGTTGAAGTTCTTAGATGTTTGCTTATCTGACCAATAGAGTTTTCTTGGTTAACAGAACAAAAACTAGTAGAAACATATACCCTTTTTCAATACGCATTTAACTACTTTTCTAGCCGCTCGACGATGTTAGGTTCCTTAAAGAATCTCTTAAAGGCCGGGTTCCATGTCATAAATAATAAGGCCTACAAAGTGTTGCCAGCTACATCACACGTTATCATTCGGGACCACTTTTGACGTCATTCTGATTCTGCGGCTTAAGTCAGGGAAACATTGAATAAAGTGATGCTGTAGTGGTCATATTTTTACTTGAGAATTTTGTGTGGGTTTGCAACGATGTGTACCGTGGTGAAGAAAGTGTTGATGCTCAAGCATTCCTCATAATGCTTAGAAATGAAGAAATTTCTCAGAGAATAGACTACTTTATTAGTGGCCGTATAACTTCCAACGTGTGGCACAGTGGTCGGAGGCGCCCTGTATGACACACGTGGAATCGGTTCCGGCGCCCTGGCTCACCAAGCCAAGTCATTGCTCTAGGGTCGGCAAGTTGGTACCAGACTTATCTGGGAAGACAACAGCACTGGTTTGATAAATCGATAGGCCAGCGTGAGTCTTGTTAAGGCCAGATATGCATTGAATCACCTCCAAACGATGCTCAATGAAGTCGAGAGCACGGCGCATCCCTCGGGGATTGATCAACGGACAATAGCTTTATCGTTTATCCTTTATAAATTCTAACACATATGCGATAATACCTAATTTTAAGTGGGATTTAGTTGGTAATAAACCTAATGTCTCGCTGGTTGCGATTTGCACGTAAAAGTTTTCCAGAAAAGGTTGCTTGTACATAACTAAATAGAAAGAATAACTTTACATTAACCTGTTCTTGTACAACATTTGTTTTGTGCAATACAAAATACCGATTGAGTACAGGAATATATCAAATGCGTTCTTTGCAGCTAAACAATCTGCCAGTGCATTGCATTGCCTTCAATGCATATAGTCCATTCTGTTCACTCGTGTTCATATCAATTGATATCTCTTATTCGGTAACAGAAGAAATGTGAAATCTATATGCAAGTGACCGATGTGCTTATTTAGATGTACTGCTCTTTATGGTACACCGACGATGTTCATCGATATGCTTAATCATCCCGAATATCATAAATATAACTACGACAGCATCAGATCAGGTATACGGTACTTATGTTAGATCTATAAGTATAATTTGGGCTTTTCGGTGTACGGAACTTTTCACAAGAAAATAATGGAACATAATTGCACCTTTTAAAGAATTTTAAATGTTTAGAGCGTCTACTAGATAGAAATAAGATTTCGTCCGGCTTCTCACAGTGCGAAACAAACCGAATATTGTAGACAAGAAGTCTCAATTTTTCAAACCGTGATAGGGTGCGTGTGGCCCCATCCTGCAACACACACGTGAAATCGATCCCCGTGCCCCGGCCCACTAAGGCCTTGATCTCTCCGAGATCGGTAGAATGGTACCAGAGTTATCTGGGAGGATAGCAGCACTGGCTCGATGTAGGCCACCGCGAGTGATTGTAAGGGCCTGATATGCATTCAATCACTTCGAAAAGATGCTTAATGAAGTCGAATGTATGGCGCATCCCTAAGGGATTGATGAACGGCAAGAGCTTTATATTTGCTAGCTTTAATTCATATTGGGCATCGAAGACTTCATTCGGGCGTTCGATTGTTAGATGTTCGATCTCGATTATTCTATTTGGAATATTCGAATGCGAACAAATATGTTGGGTTTGAAATCTTAATGTTACTCTATAATGACTTTCATGCTAAACGTTCATGCTAACTACACTTTAGGGGAAAATTTCTCGCTGACTGTAAAACATTCTTTCAATACAATTCATTACCATCTGCTTTGGTCGAACTGAACGAAAGATAGTAATTTATGGAAAGAAGCTCGTTTTTTTTTCAGGCTTTATTGCTGGCGCCCCTTGTCCAATTACTCTTTGCCGACGTCTCGTCAACGAAATGCACATGCGAGACATGCAGGTTGTGGTTGAACTCGAATAAACAAAAAATCAGGACAGAAACGCAGAAGTTTTGTAACGCATGAAAGAGCTTGGTACTAAAAGATTTTGAATCGTATGAAATGCGGTGGTCATCCTTTCTTAAGACATGAACCTTTCATGGCATCTCCGAACTGGATACTAACGGTTCTTGACGGCCTTAAATTTCATGACAGCTGCAATATGGGCGCAAGGCGCCCCTAGGGGCCCAGGTGGCATAAGTGTACGTAATCGTTTCTTTAAATCGGCGAAAGTTTGACAAAAACTTATTATTCATGACGTCGATAGTCGATAAACTTTTTCCCAAAATTAATACAGGTCATACTACTTTAATGATCCGATAACAGTAATATATGCATTGATGCATAAAATGAAGGAGAAGATGTGTTTATTTCGGTAGCTAGAAGTGGCTTACAATACACACTGGATCGGTCGCTGGCTCCATTCCAGACCCCGCGCCTACTAATCCTTGTTGAGGTCTGGAAATTTCTGCTATACTGATCTAGGACGATAGCGGCACTATGTACATCGACAGGCAACTGCGAGTCACTATATCCGCCAGACTTGCATTCAGTCGCCTCTACGATGCTCGATTAAATCCAATGCATGGTGCATCCATCAGCGATTGATCAATGTAGAACCCTTTTTATCTTTTATGCTTTATAAAGGAAACATGAGTGTGTGAAAAGATAATTTTCTAAGAATATAGCAATGATTAAAAATTGGCTGCTTGGCTTGTACTGATAATTTCATGCCGTGGACAACTAATTAAAATTTTTCATTTGTTTCTATTGGTCGTGCATCGGCAACAACAACCAATGGATGTTTAGGTTTGCTACGGTACAACGGAAACATCGCCAGTGTCGTTCATGTCAATTCGTGACGATCCACCTGAACAGCGTATTAAAAGTGTAGGACACATCATGGATCATCTAGAGGTGAGAAGCGACAGTCGTCTAGTCGCAAATTGAAAATGAAATTTTTTACTGAGTGGAATTTCCTTCTGAATAATTGAAAAAAAGATGATGTGATGATGGAAATGGTAAGATGTGGAACTTAAGCTTAGCTTTTTCCACTTGCTCTAACTCTTTTTTGACTTCTCAAATATCTAATCTCTCATTTAGTGCTTGTATGGAAGGGCATTATGTGAAATGCAACCACAACGATGCTGAAATATTTACAGAATTCAGAACTCTAGGCCAGCCTTGAACCCGCGATTGTCCTTTCCGAGTATTCTCCTGCTATCCGTCACACCAGCCGATACCCTTCTCTCACTTAGTTTTTTACCCTGATGTTACCATCAGCAATCACCCGTCAATTGAAATGATCAGAAGAGCAGAAATTGACTTTGAACTCAGCTGAGTTGAAGCTGCAGTCGAGAGCACAATGTTTGCCTTTTATTTAGTGCCTACTATTTTTCCATGATAAAATATTATGTGAAATACATATTTTCAAGGTATCTTTATTATTTTCCGTAGAAGTTTTACCTGTGAAAAAGAAGACGTCTAGCCAAAACGGTGTGATCTGTAGCCAACTTTTCATTTATATTTCATTCCCATATTTTCGAAACTTTATATTAACTCGTATGAGATGCTGAGATATTTGCAAAACTCAGGACCACAGGTGTATGCAGTGGGGAACGAACACGCGCTGTTGTCCTTACCGGGGAGCAGCGCACTTCACCACTACACCATCCGGGTCACACTTTATATTAACACATAACGGACAACGCCCATACTTTATATTATAGGCAGCGCGCCAAGTGCTCGCTATGACCTATATATGGGTCATTCTTTTTCTAATGGCTTGTTTTGTCTCACAGAACACTTCCCGCTCTTTTTATAATCGATCGACAGCTTGTCGAACAAATATTGTGGCGGTCGGGGAAATCTATTCTGCACTTGGAGACATACACAAAACTTTTCCCAAACGAGTTCATTGACCAGTAATTTGGCAGACAATTGACCGTCATTTATATTGTCATGTGTGAGGGATACCGAAATGGAGACCCTATCATGTGTGAGGGTTACCGAAATGGAGACAGCATAGGTTGCAAAACACTTTAAAATACTGACAACAGTGTAGTTTTATTTTGGACCACAGGAGCATGTAGACACACATAGTAAATAATAGCACGCTTACCATTGGTACCCATAGAGCGATAGAGCATATTTTCCTCCGCAATTCTTACGGCCCTTAAGTCCCGTAGTTATCAAAAAGTTATCGTTTGAAAACCAGTAGGGCCATTAAAGCTGAAAATTAGACGTCGTACTATGTGGCAGGTTCACTAAACACTGCATGTCAGTTATGTGTTAATATTGGAAAACACAGATGCTGTTTTTGAAAAAGTGGTTTGAACTTCATGTTTCTTTTCTAAATGAAATCTTGTCCATTGAGAAAATAGTCGAGGTGCAGTGGTGCTGATTTCGCCGCCACCGTCTGAATCTGCCTTAGCGGTTTCCGAAAGTTCTTATCAGAACTGTTATAATCATCGAAGTTTTTGGTTGTATGACGCCTAATTAACCGCGTTCTCCGCTGTTTTTAGGGGTGCCTTACAGTGGTAATGTAGTCATTGTTGAGTTGGGTCGGAAAGTTGATTCCTGACTTTTTTGGGAGAGTAAAGTACACTAGCTTTGAATACATCAGTAAACTCCCGAAACTTTTTGTATAGTCCGAATATAGATTCACCTCTATGGTGATTAATGAATCCGAATGCATGGCGCATCCTTAAGAGATCGCTTGACGCTGAACGCTTGATTTACGTTTTTGTCACCTGTAATCGCCTTAGCCGACGTGTAACCTGAGAGGGTGCCAGTGCGCGACATATTCTAGTATAGCTGTCCGAGGTTTGCCTTGGCTTGGTTTACCCAAAGCTCGGCTTTCGAAAGGAAATCCGATGCTATTCGGCCTGTCTATCTTGCTTGAGCGAGGACCTCTACTGTCCATCCCAGTATTACAATCAGGAACAACACTATTTCGTTTCCTCTGCCGATGAGGCCATAAATAGTTGGGGAGGACAGAAATGAAATGTTCATAAGTTTCAATATCACTGAACGACCTTTATATGTGGTATTCATTTATCCATATACACCTTACTATATTTTCAGGCGGCCATTGTCGATAAACACGGTAAGACTGTACCTCGTGGAGAGAAGGGCGAAGTGATTGTACGCGGTTATTCGGTGATGCGATGCTACTGGAATAATGAAGAGCAGACAAAAAAGGAGATCACCGAAGATCGGTGGTACCATACGGGGTCAGGTGGACTTTTCTTATAAGTTATTAATAAATGATTTTGCAACTAGCAATGAGCGTAGCGAATCTATCGGAATTTGGAAACTGGTAAACACCCGCCGTGAAACGTTGAGGGTCAGCTGGAGTGGTCAACAGTTAGTGACACAGGAGAGGTAGTGCGAATATTCGGTCATCATCGATCTTAAAAAGATGTGATGCTGTATATCGTTTAGCTTTCGTGGCTTATGTCACATCTTCAGCAAAGGTAAGACTAAAGAAATATGACCAAGAACAGAGCATGGAGACGTACATCTGCTGCATTGGATGGATCAGTTGGAATTGACCTATCCAGTTTTCTAATCCTAACCAGAAATTTCTAAGTTTAGATTTTTAGACTGAACTCTTCGGTTTGCAAGTAGTATTTAATATAGCTGTGGAGTCTTTCGTAGTAACTCACGTAACTAGCAGAATTTCCGTGTTGAATTTGATGGTTCTCTTGATGTACTGTTCGTCAATGCAGACGAGAATAGAAATACAAAACAACTTTTAGAGTCATCTAGTCGTCTTGTCCTTTCAGATACACTGGTAAAGCAAGCCGTCAGGTTTTGTAAGCATCATACTACGGCTTTGTTTAGCACAAAGGATTAATTCTTTGAGAAAAACTTTTGAAACATTGGCAATCATATCATAATAAGAATGTACTCAGATGCCAGGAAACATGCAACGTGTATTAATTTTTAGTGACATTGCTGTCATGCATGACAACGGAACGATTTCAATAGTTGGCCGTTCGAAGGACATGATAGTTCGCGGCGGTGAGAACATCTACCCGACCGAAGTCGAACAGTTCCTCTTCAAACATCCAAAAGTCGAAGACGCACATGTAAGCATGTTTGTAGATGCGATGGGACCAGTATTTCCATTGTTGATCAAGCTTAGTCTTTAGGAATGTTTCCTATTGTTAGGTTCACAGCTGTTTTAAGTGATATTCCTTTAATGCCTGTGTGAAGATCGTGGTCATTGTGATTGTACAGTAAAGTTTAGCTGAATCATGTAGCAATATTTGGTGTGATCATTCTTTAGTTGTAATTAGTATTTGGTGTGTAATATCGATTTTGAGAAAAGCAATACATCAACGATCTCCGTAAATTGTTCTTTTGTTTCGAAAAGTACGGAAGAACCTGAAATTTTTATTTTAGAAACTTTGTGACCTGGGAGTGGCGCAGCTAACCTGGGTTTCCAAGGAGAATCAATTCCACCAGCATTCACCGAGATCCTCATTTAAATTTAGATTTTGTAGTGATTAGAAGAATGGCAGAGAGTCCAGAATATAGTGCTTGAAAGCGAGGTGATTTCTATAGTGGGAAGAACTGTGTTATTTCAGATCGTTGGTGTTCCCGATGAAAGGTACGGAGAAGCGGTATGTGCATGGATTCGGCTAAATGATTCTGCGGTTGCTGAGGTAACCGAGGATCACATTAAAGAATGGTGTAAAGGAAAGGTTCGTAACTATTAATTATCTGGAAGACAAGAGGGATTGATGAGTATTTCGAATTCGAATATAGTAATTCAAAATTTAAATAAAAAGGGATAAAGCTCTTGGCGTTAACCAATCTCTGAGGGATGCGCCATGCATTCGACTTCATTAAGCATGGTTTTGAGGTGATTGAATGCATATCTGGCTTTTACAATGACTCGCGGTGGGCTACCAATGTATCGAGCCAGTGCTGCTATGCTCCCAGACAAGTCTGGCACCAATTAGCTGACCCCGAAGGGGTGAAAGAGTTGGTGAGCTATGGGTGCGGGGATCTATTCCACGTGTGTGTTGCAGGGCGCCTCCGACCACTTTCTCACACACGTCCCAAAATTGAAAATTTAAGTATTCGATCTAAACCGTAATTTTATGCGTAACTTCGAAGCACATGGTGTTCGCATTTGTTCTTACAAGTGAGTTCAAATCTACGCGAATTTTTACTCATTGTCGCACGACTTCTGCTGCGATGTATGTTTAAGGTTACAAGTAGTTGAATGTTCATCTAAAATTCATTCGGCCTTTTTCAGATCGCCCATTTCAAAATTCCGCGCTACATCCTTTTCAAGAAGGAGCACGAATTTCCACTGACGGTTACGGGAAAAGTGAAGAAGTTTGAAATTAGGGAACAGTCAAAGCTCGAACTTGGTCTACAGCAGGTCGTGTCACATTTCCAAGAGATGTGAATATTTTAACTACACTTCAACAGAACGCGGACGAGTTGTGCGTTGTTGTAGTCACTTATTGCATGACTTTTATGCGTTTTTTTCGTTTTTCCTACGATTTCCTCATACCTCGAGTTCACCATCCATCATCCATCTAGTTGATCCAGAATTGGGTTTCTGCTATAGTGTAATGATGCAGTCAGTCACCATTTCCAAAGTGATACGCACTACCTGTCTCATAATTCGCGTGTATATTGGTCATCCGAAAATTGAATCGCCTAGACGGTGGATGATATGGTGCTCTAGTAAAACTGAGAACAACAACGGCATTCGATGGTGTAATTTTTTTTCTTGAGTGGCACGGCATTGACAGGTACGTAACTTATGGGTCACCATTGACGGACGAATTCTTCGAACGTTTTGATGTGTTTTAACCGAGGAACTCTTGCTCTCCTTAGAATAAAAATTCTGTTTTGTCAAATAGATATTCTTTCAATCAATAGATATTCTTTAGCTTAGATTGTTTTGTATTCCTTGTTGCATTGTTTGCTGCATTGTTAGAGTCTGTGTATGGTACGGCTTCCTTATTTCTTTCCTTCTTTCTTTGTGTTGTTTGTTTTGAAAACGTTATGCCTACCGTAATGTATGTAAATTGCTTTACTGTATGTGATCGTATATCTGTGACTACTGTCTATGGCTGTTCGTGGTTTTCGTTTCTTATTTCATGTAGAGTTTGGAGTTCACAACTTGAGCCGGCATCGTTTTGGTTTTTTGATTAACTGCTATTCCCAGGTCTTATGGGACGACAAGTGCTCACAGAACGTCGTGAACATTTTACTATCCACCAATCTTTCCGCATGCTGTTGTCTCTATTGATATCATGCGTATTGATTTAGGCACTATCAATCAATATTCGTCATAAAATCATTACTTTCTTAGATAAGTGTCGATGTGGAGCAGTCGACTTGTGAATGATTTCACTTCGCGTCTTCACCGCCCATCATCTGCTGTTTTATATCATACGAAACAAAAACGAATCATATGGGACTTCTGTATTTGTGTTCTTCTCATTCGTTCTGCTTTTCGCTAGCCTTTCTTTTCCATGTCTATTCCTTGTACGTTCCTCTTTTTTCTTTTTGTTTCTAACATGTCCTTTTTTTCTAGTTCTCTCTAAAATCGTCATTTGTTAGATGTTTCTTAGACTATACAGTATCCGTACTAAGCACCATTCGAATAGTATAGTCATGATTGTGTTTTGTTATATTTTTCTTCTTTACAAAGTAGAGTGTTATTAATAAACGAAATTGAAAGCATTTGTTTATTTTACATGATTAAGACTGAACTATTTTCCGATTTGATATGGACAGCACTCGTTGTTGGCATTACATTGGAAATTGTCCGGACAGTTCAAATTTACACACGGTCCTGAAAATTGAATAAGGTTAGGAGCACATCGAATCATGCGTTTAGTCCTGAGCCAAAAGTTAGCCTTGGCCTTGATGTTTTCCGATAGCACACTTCCATTTTTTTTCATTCTACTTGCACTTCAATCAGGCCGATGGCTGTTTTCGAATCCTGTTGTCAATCAGTACTATATGTAAGGTTTCCTTAATGTACAAACAATCGATAACGTATCCGGACATCTATCACAAACCGATGCTGGTTCCGTAAGCACATCGGCAACACACGTTATTCGGTGTGCATGTGAAGCCTACAGGGCAGACTCCACCCACATGACAGTAACCAGCCGAAGCTTCTCGTCCGTCACACAGCGGATTTGGCGCTGAACAGATTAGAATCTAATGGGAAATCGATTTTTCGGGAAAAGGTAAAGCTGTGCGTGTTGCTGGTTTGATTAAAAAATCTCTCACGTATTGGCGGACTGGGTGGTGTCGTAATTGGTGGATAAGGATGATAACCATCTGACTGAAAGGAGTTCAGGAAATAAAAGAAGGAGTACTATCAAAGTGCAAGGAAGTACTGAAAGTTATTACCGTACAGCACCCATTTCGACAAATGTAGTTTATATTAATCGCCCGGCAGTACGGCGTGGTAGAACATGGATATTGGCAGGCTGGCTCACATGTTACACATGGACAGGCTTAAAATAGAAAAAAAAACAACGAGTCAATGACGCAAGGAAAAGTTTCGGACGAAAATAAAACAATAACAGTTAGAACAGTGGGACTCTATTGTTGTAGGTGAACAAGAGGTAGATTTGGCGCTCGAACCGTTACCGAAATATGAATGCATTTCTTCATCGAAGTTCTACGTAAAAAGAATGTTGAGTGAAACCATGCGTGATTTATGAGACAGTATGGAGGGAAGGCAATGATTGATTGCTTCATTTTGGCCTGGCTTAATGATTTACGGCGTGAAGGCAGGAAAAAATGTCTTCTGTTCTGAATGCTTGTTCCAAACATAGGGCAACATAGAACAACTATATCGAATCCCTACAACCTATAAACTTATGGGCTTCAAAGACTGGTGTGTAATAACGCACTTCCATTATTTTCTTTTGAAAAAATCTTAAATACTTTTGAAAGCTTATTTAAACTGCCGTTGAAAAGTTAATGAGGTATTTTAGGCTAATTGATAACTATGGAGCGAAAGGTGACTATAATTAAGATTTTCCTAGTAATCTGAGAACAAAACCTTCCTTGCTGCCTTTTCTTTATTCTAGTTGTTTTCATTGGTCTCTTTTATTCCTTGAGAAGACTGTTCGAAAGTCTTTCTTTCATTAACATAATGTTGCCTTTATTATGCTTTCATTACTATAAGTTTTGCATGCGTTCCATTCGAAGGGTTATTTTCTAATTTCCTATTCTTATTATTTTATTATTTATTATATTATTGATTATTTTATTCCCTTAATGAAAAAAGCGGTAACAAGAGCAAACGTTACGCGTCTTTACTAAAATTATGGGAGAAAAATTATGAGCTATATTCCTACTCTCAACTACTCATAAATGATTGGAGATGTTTGTCTAACATTTTAGTGGCACTTACGATAATAGGACATGTACTGGTTAGGATAAGTTCCACAGAGGTAGTAAACTGAGTAGGACTGCCGACGTGGTCTTAACTGCAACCGATTGTCGTTGGATACGATAGCCGTTGTGCTACTCATCAATATGGCTACCGAGACGGCCATCACCACTCGTCCTGAGATCACCATAGCTATAAGGATATGAATTTATTTCTATATAAAGTTTCAGAGGTATGTATGATACGGTAGTTAGAAGTGGCGAGCAATACATTTGTGGTCGCTGGTCCGAACGGGCTCCTTGGACAAATTAATCCCTACGTCAATTTGAGGTGGGAAAATTGTCACCAGGATCTCTGGATGGACAAGAAACATTGGTCATGTCACATCATCTACTGTGATTACATCTACTGTGATCCGGCATCATATCTGCTCTGCTGACCCCAGAACTTCATGCTTTCGAAACATTGACTTGGCTCATTGCTACCTCATCGCAAGTCAATTTATAAGCCGAATGTGCACCTACCCGATGCTATGAATGGAATCGAATGCATTTTGCATCCTTCATGGAAAGGCAAACATTGAGATCTTCATCGTTTATCTTTTAATCAAAATTCAGCCTCATAGATGATCAACCGTTGACCGACTATAGTAGTTTAAGGTCCAGTATCGAATCAAGTTTGTTATATAAGGAAATATTGAATAGCGTATAAAATAGTGTTCAGGAGCACTTAAAGATCGGAATTTCGCTTTAGCAGAATATGAAAACTTGCATCTTATAACCAAAGACCTGTGGATTTTAATCGTTTCTGTTCCCGGTGATTGCTTAATAGGTGCTGCGATATGCTGGTCTAAACTTGAAAGCTGATAAGATATTTGCCCCGAGTGCATCGTGCTCCATTCATCTCGTGCGTTACGGTGTTAAAAAAGATTAATGCGCCAATCAATCCTTTATCAGGTTTTGCACTACTAAAATGGATTAAACGGCGTGTGTTGATACATATCTTAAACATCTGAAGCAACAAAAAGTACGCAATAGAGTTAATAGATCGAAATTAAAATAGCTACGAATGGGTTGCTGAGCAAACAGTTTGTGGGTTTAAATAGCTGTCGAAAAGAGGGCGAACAGATAGTCAGAAAGTCAATATCATCGACCTTGCGAGAAACTTGGAGTAGGGAAAAGTCGGAGACCACAATGATTCGTCATCGTTTTGTTGACGAGGAAAAAGAGCTGGCACACGTCTTTTTATTCAGAACACCAACGAAGGTACAAGGCAAAGTAACAATGGAGCCATTTAAATAATCTGCGATTGTCTTCTAATTCTTCAGTTAATGTTATAGCTTTTTATTTTCTGCCTACTAAAATTTCGCGGCAGGGTACTAAGCGAAATACAACCACAACGTTGCTGAGATATTTGCAAAATTCTGGACAGCAGATGTCTATGGTGGGAAACGAACGCGCTATTGTCCTTTCCGGGGAGTAACACGTTCACCACCACACCATGCGGGTCCTTCGTTTCGCCTGTCTCTCAGCTATTTCTATCGATCTTTGCCACAGCAATCACCCGTCAGCGGGTTTGATCTGGGGCGCCCAAATAACATTGTGATTTCAACTACAGCCGCAGCTCAACTGGGTCCTATGCCGATTTGGGCGCCCCAGATCAATCCCGCTGACGGGTGATTGCTGTGGCAAAGATCGATGGAAATAGCTGAGACAGGCGAAACGAAGGACCCGGATGGTATAGTGGTGAAGTGCGCTGCTCCCCGGTAAGGACAACAGCGCGTGTTCGTTCCCCACTGCATACACCTGTGGTCCGGAGTTTTGCAAATATCTCAGCACTTCATACGAGTTATCTTTCGCAACATACCCTGCCATTAAGAAGAAAAAGGCAGTAAATAAAAGAGTTAAGAATGTTGTGGTTATTTCATTTCTTCTAAAAACATGTTGATACTGATCTTTGACCGAGCATATTGATTCAAGCGAGGGTGTTGATCCAAGCAGACTGCCGGTTTAACTCAAAATACGACCTCCCTCCATCATCGTACCTCACTTGGCATTTTCAACATAAATGTTTAAATATGGCGTGTAGAGGTATTCATCCTCCGACTACGTAACTAAATGTGGGAAGTAGGACATTTCTGAGCCCTACCAACGTACATGCCACTTAAAAAGATCTGCATAGATGCTTCTCCTTTCTCTCAAATGAGTGATAAGAACTTACTACACATCTCCGGCGTGTGTCGCCGAAAGACGGACTTAACTAGTGTCCGCCTTAGACAGAAAGGAGGAAACGAGAAAATCTCTAACGTTCATCAGTCCCTTAGGAAAACACTCGAAAAAAGTTAACACTGTAAAAGTGGTTGAATGCGTATTTGCCTCATATCCCGTGGATTCTATCCTCCCAGGCAAGTTCGGTTGCCATATGCCGACCCTTAGCAAGGAAGGCATGATTACGTCATGTCAGATGATCAAGCTAATGAGCAGGTTTGCGTTGTAGGGCACCTCCAACCACTATACTACGTGCAAATTTTTTTGACAAGCTCCATTATTGATGAGATTTATACAGATGAATCCATTTTCGGTTTATGGTACATTCAGAAAGTCCCCTAAACGTAGCTCCCGCAGAACTAAATTAGTCTTCTAAATGCGCATTTGTAATTTATTACCCTTGATACTTATTTGAATAGATTTTTCTGCTATTAGTGCCGTTATTGGTTTTCATCATGTCTTCTTTTATATGTTTACAGGTGTTATCAAACGTATAGCTACTGTAGGTCATGTTAAAGCCGCCTAAAAGCGAAGTGACATCCGCAAAAACTTAGGCGAACTGACAGCTAAAGACTAATATCACGTTATTTAGCACATTAGGATAAAAAATTATTAGCAACGTTACCATATTCTCACACAATTTAGTACTAGCTCTCTGTGCGAGGCTGGAACGGAATACTGGGACTGATTGGGCGGACCCAAATATAGCGGGTTTGCGGCTTTGTACTATCTGTCGCTTGCGTTTTTGTTTATAACGGGCTTTGCTTTTTTCAAAAGTTATTGCAAAAAATAATGGAGCTTACTAATAAGATTTTAGAAGTTTATGAAAGTGATGCATAGTACAACACTGGTGGTCTTCTTATGACAGGTTTTCTTCTTCCTCAAGAGAAATACTCTAGAGTGAAAACAGCACTGACATTAAACAAACAATCTCGTCTCTCTTCGTCGGCTATAACTCGCTGAGAGTGCCTCAACTGAAAAAAATAGGCGAATTCCAATTCCTTGTAAGACTATCCGAAGGCAAGGGGACCAATAGGTATTTTGCTTAGGACTTAACCACACATTGTGCTTATTCTGGTACTTCTTTCATTCAATTCATTCTCTCGCACACGTTATTCACAATGATCTTATGAATTGCACATGGATGCGACTTCTATTTGAGAATTTTGCATTTATTATGAATGCCACTGAATGTAGGTCAAGATGGTCGTTCGTGAAATCCTGCGATCACTCTGTTATAGCTCTTATAAGTGTTCAGGATTTTCCCATTTTTGTGGATTTGCAGGACGCGGGATTGTTTGACTGGTGATAAACTTCGCACAGAACCTTAATCTATGACAGCTTTATACCAAAAAATTTAAGAAAAAAACGGATGCAACAACGAATCAACCCGATAAGCAAAAATATACTCTAATCTAACCTATACACACGCTCATTCCACTCATTCCACTCACACACACAATTCGGAGGAAAAGCAAACGAAAGCTGAGAAATTCCACCATACTGGCAGAAGACCGAAAGTTTGGGGAATAAAACCCAATCCGATCTACTCGATGCGGCGAGTGCGTGTAGTAATACTGAACTGACCTATGAGTGCCTTTTCAGAGCTCTTTGAGAATGTCTCGAAAAAGTAGCCCAATCAGAAAAATACTGATAAGGAACCATATCTTCTATCTTATTAAGACAAAACATATATGGACTAGCGGATTACCTTAATTGTAAGTAAATGAACATTAGCTTACCTCCCATGTGATCAAGAGTTTCTGCAATTCATTACTCACGGCGTTCAATTCGTAACACATGAGTCATTATGCGAATTACTCATGAAAACGTAAATAGATGGAAGAAACCATCTCCACTGGAAAAGATTCTGGTTGGAGGCCGAACAGATCGATGGTTTATTTAATACTGGAAAGCGATTGGTAGCTAGATGTCGGCTTAATTTCTTGATTGTGAAATACAACTAGAAGAATGCTAAGACATGAGCAAACCTGTGAAGCTCGGCTAAACTTAAAAGCCACAATTATCCTTTTTTAGGTTCACGTGCTATCCAATACACCAACTGACTGACTTTGGTTTGCCTTTCTCTCAGCCAGTTTTTTGCTCTAGCGGTGATATCAGCAATCACCCGTCAACGTAAACGATCTGGGAAACACAAATCGAGAGTGAATCCAGTAAGGCTGGAACTGCAATCGGTCTCACGTTGTGTTAATTTTTGGTTACTGCTCATTTTAGTCTGATTATAAAAATCTGGTGAGAAATGCAAAGGAAGCGCCTCGGTTGCCGAGGTGCATAGCGCGTGAACCCTGTTTGGGTTGGGTAATCACGGGCTCGAAGCTTGCCTAAGGTTCCGAGTTTGGTCATATCTCAGCGCTCTTGCAGTTCTATTTTACATAAAACCTTGATTAAAAAAGACTGGAAATTATGTAAAAGTTAAAATATTGTGTTTCCTTGTAATCTTCATTATAGCACCTTTGAAAAGGTGGGCGTAAAAAAATAATTCCTACTTTTCTTGTGTAACTACTGGGAAATATTTTAAAAGTTTAGGAATGTTTCCTCTTACGGTTTACCGCCTCATCGTGGCAGGGAGGTGTTCCTGGGTGTCGGGCTGCGATGTAAGTGGAGAGATTCGTCTCCACGGCAGCGTCTCCCAAGCTGAGAAGGAGTCCGGCGTTTCCATCAGAAAGCCTAGCTAAGAATAAACCAATACCAGGATCCACCACCGTCCTGGTATCAAAATCGCATGGTGGCAAATCTCTCTCTGATCCACAAGGGCTGCTACTGCCTTTGGTGGTGCAGACCTGTGGCAGACTTTGGCCAGGTTGACCTCAGGATTCCAGGAAACCACGATAACTTAACCAGCAATTTTTCAAAATAATGGAGATTATGCTGGGGCTCGCACAACAAGTGAGGATTGGCCTTT